TGACTCTCTGTAAACCGCTTAGAGAGGCCTGAAAGGCCTATGAAGCGGTATATAAGTCTACTGCTATTGCTATTATTTGTTATGTGAGTTTAGCTGGTTTACTTTGTGGACTTCTCTAAGCTTTTCTAAGCTAAAAACTCTGCTATTTGGTATCAGTTTATTCTATTCTTAAGGATTCCTACAGAGTAGCTAAAATTGAAGAGAAACAGTAATCTGTTTAACTAATTATGGAATTTATTCATTTATTTATATGGTTTGAATGGCTGCCTATTTCACCCTAGTGACTCTGGACAGCATCTAATGCTAAAACCATCAGTTAGAACTTTATCTGGGTATCTGAGATGAACTTCGTACAATGAATGATGTTGCTGGGAATGTATAACCTTGGCATACACTACTGGTATCCTTTGCTCATCCATTCTTGGAACATCTCCTTACCACGATAAGGTAGCACAGTAGGATAGTCTGAACAACCTTAAATAGATATTCAAGGAAGGCTGAAGATCTGCTTTGTCATTATAATCTCTAATGTCAAATGAGGAATAATTAAGTATGCTACTAATTTTGTCATTATGTCCTAATGATATAGAAGAGCTACTATAGTGGTGTATAGGAAGCTGGCTTTGAAATTTACATTAGATGTACCAGCATTTTAAAAATATGCCCACTTACTGGGTACAATTCACAGTGTTAATTTTAACTTTTAGAAAAGTTCTTGATTTGATTTGGGGCCCATGTATCTAAAATATTTTGTCTTCCATATGAATGTTTTTAATTGTAAAAATTGTTTGCAGCGCGTATTCTTTAGCTACCACATCCTCTAAAAATTAGACAAGTGATGATTAAATATATTTTCTTCTTCTGAGACTTGTATCTCCCTGGAAAGTTTCTCCTGGCACTACCTAGATGAGTTTAGGTATTGAATTAACATTATTTTATTAGTTTCAGCTTTTTATATATTTTTATTGCTTTATCTGCCAAGGTTTTATTATTGCTTCTAATACTATAGATTTTATTGGTTTTATAACTCTGCATTATTCTTTAATAAAAGGTGATTGTTTTAATGATTCTATTATTTACTATTGAATGCATGATGAAATAAAAATGTAAAAGCAAGTTAGAAGTATGTATCATAATAATATTTCTGTCTGAAAGTAAAACAAGTTACAGAATCCAATCTGGGTAGGTCCCTGGGACCAGAGTTTTAATCTTCCAAGCTTTCAGACACATGGTGGAGCCCCTCCTCAGGGAACTTTTCGCTANTGTGTGTGTGTGTGTGTGTGTGTGTGTGTGTGTGAAAAGGTTCACTTAGAGTATGATTTTATAGGAGATTTTGAAGTCCAACTTTTGTGTATGACCTGAGTTGGGGCATTGCATCTTCCTTTGGTCCTTTCAGATAACTCAGCAATTTTTGATAATATTAGGCATGGTATCTTACTGCACTGTTTGCAAAGATTTGCATTAGTTCTATACTGTCCTTTATAAATATTTCAGTTTGTTTTAGTTGGGAGGATAGATTGATTCAGTGGTTTTTCACTTAATGGACTATTGCAAGGGTTTGTCCTTATCCTCCCATTTTCTAACAGCTACATGAAACTGATGGGGCAACCATCCAGTAATTTGGGCTGTGGTAGCAGCAGTATGTTGATTATACCCAATTATAATTTTCCTCTGTGTGGACGATGCTGTTGATATTCTGTCCTGGGATCTGGAGGCTGTGAAGGTCTGTATGGATGAGAACAGGCTCAGATTAAACCCAAGTAACACAGAACTGACATTCACATGTCTCCTGTAATACCAGTGATGTCCTTAGATGAGACTACAGGTAGTTCTTGACTTATGGTCCCAACTGAGCTGAAAATTTCTGTTACTAAGTGAGGCAGTTGTTAAGTGAGTTTTGCCCCATTTTATGGTCTTTCTTGCCACAGTTAAGTGGATGAGATAGTAACACTTAACACGCTGGTGAATCTGGCTTCCCCATTGACTTTGGTTATAAAAAAGTCACAACAATGATCACATGAACCAGTTGCACTCTTCCGAGCTGTGATCACATGAACATGGGGATGATCATAAATTACTTTTTTCAGTGCTGTTGTAACTTTGAATAATCATTAATGAATGGTTGTAAGTTGAGAACTACTTATATCTGTTCTAGGAGTAGTTCATGATTTGGGAATCTTATCTTTTAGCCTCATGTCTTCTTCTATTTAATAGCATATGAAGTTCATGGTAGAACTTTACATGTCCTTAGCTGCCCTACACTGTATATTCCAGGCTCTGCACTGGTTCAGTTTTTCTGAGCTAAATTTAAAGAGCTCTTTAATACTTGGCCCCTGGTTATGTGAAGGTCTACCTCCACTAATTGGATTTAGCTCAATCTATTAGATTGTGGGAGGGAGCTCTGTGTTGTCCACTTTTCTGAAATGTCAGGGGAACTCAAGATAGAAAGTACTGCTTTTCCAAAGCAATGCTGACCCAAGGGAATGCATTCTCCACTCTGATCAATGATCTTCCTGATAGCTTTTAGGAACTTATTAAAAAAAGGAATTCTTTTGAAGAGCTAGTGTCTAACATCACCTGGGGCTTTTCCTCCTTCCTTCCTTCCTTCCTTCCTTCCTTCCTTCCTTCCTTCCTTCCTTCCTTCCTTCCTTCCTTCCTTCCT